TGTAGTTATTTTTTTTAAATGTAGCCCCTTTTTTTTAGCTTTTTTTTGTATTTTTTACTTTTTAAACACTATATATAAGTGTTTTGGTTGAGAGATTTACATACCAAGTTCTCGATTTGCAAAAAAAACAAAAAAACGTTCACAATTATCGGTTTTTCGTTATATTTTGTAAAACAATGTAATTTTAATTATAATAAAACGTATTTTTAAAGTGTATTTGAGTGACACAATTACAAATTTTATAATGTATTAAAAATATATATCATTAAAAAAATAAAAAAATATTTTTAATGACCGGGATCGGCGGCCCATAACCGGTTACAAGAAATCTTGACTGGGCTCAACTTTTTCAACTGGGACTGGGTATGACCGGTTATGAGAAATCTTGGGCCCGTCCCGGCCCGGCCTAACCCGACCCGAGACCGGTTTTTGACCATCACTAATAAGTAGTATTAAAAAATTATAAGTTATTGTTTATTAATTAATAGTATCTAGTATCTATATAAAAGAGGATCAGATGGAGATGACGTGTCATGTTGGTGTTGTAGGTAGTGATCATAGAATATTTCTCATTTTTTTTACGAAAATATGTTAAAAGACTTTTATATTCCACAAATTATGTAATTCATTAGGAGCCTGTCAGGCAGTGTTTTTAGTAATTTCCCTTGTTCGACGATCCACGTTCTCCCTTTACATTGCCACATATCTCTTTCCAACCACCAAAAACCTTTCCTTCTCCTACCACTAATGTCGTTGTCATAACGTATAGTCGGTCGGTGAGAAAGGAGTTGGTTACTGGCGTTACTATTAACTGAGGTAGGCCTGGGTGATGTTGATGAGGGAACCCGTAATGGTGATGGAGTAAGTAGGAGGTCGAGGGTGCCGGTATCGTCGACTGTGAGTAGGTCAAGGTTTGAAGTGACCATCGACAGCAGCATTAGGGTCTTGCTGATCTCTTAAACACTTAATTGTGGGAAAGGTTCTTGCTGATCTTTTAAAAAACTTCAGTAGTTTGTGTTTTTTTTTAATTTTTCTAGAGCTATTTCTTTATTAGAAGCTATGAATATACGTTGTTTTGGTTGTATTTTTTCAACATATGAACCCGTTAGATTTGTTAAATAATATATACATTATTACACTAATTGAAACTATTAAGAGATCAAGATTGGGAGAGTTTATGATTTTTAATTAATGTTACAAATATTTTCTAATGTTTTAATTAATCATGAAAAAAGAGAACATGTAAAAAAAGGACTTGATTTGGATGCATGTGACAAGATAATTCATAAGATAAGTTTTTTTAAGGTTATATTTGGTAAATTAATTAAAATGTATATAAGATCTCTTCTTTTTTTTTTTTAATCATAACTTTTTTTTTTGATCGAAACTGAGATTTCAGATCATGTAAAACCAGTATGTTTTCGTGAGACTACTTTTTTACACTTGAAACTTTACAACAAAACGCTGTGAAAATTCAACTTTTCTTTTTTACATTCATAGCGTTTTGTTGTGAAGTTTCAAGTGTAAAAAAGTGGTCTTATGGGTCTCACGAAAAGATATTGGTCTCAAGTGATCCCAATCCTCGAAACTCAACCACACACACATAAACACACACCTACGCACTTGAGATCATGTGAGACCGACTTATTGTATATTCATAGGGTTTTGCCATGAAGATTAAATGTTATTTTATGGTCTTTTGGGTCTCAAGTAAACATGTTGGTACTAATTGCATAATATATCTAAGGAATATGGTGTATAAGAGTGATCAAATGCAAACCACCATCATCCGTCGATTTCAATGTTTAATCTTATGAAATTTTTTCATGAATTTGTTTAATCTTATAAAATTGTTTCATAAAATACTATTTTTGATGAAGTTGTTTCATATATGGTTATGAAATTTTAATGAAACTGTTTCATGTATTTCTTTAAAATTAATATAATAAACATGATAACATCCATGATTAATACCCTCCACAATAAAAATGATTAATCAACCTCTCATAATTACAAAAAAAATGAACAAAATGAAAATATATGATTGGTTGAATGTGGTTTGTACGATTTATTCAAATAACGTGGTTTCAAAGTAAACTCTATCTCTCTTTCTCTCTCTCTCTCTCTCTCTCTCTCTATATATATATATATATATATATACATACATACATATGTTCGACAATTAAACTCACGTACATTTCTTATCTTTAGTGAAACTTGAACCCTTTATGGATACTGAATTATATTGGTAAATCGAATATTGTTGGACCAATAACCTTTTTACTAGTAACCTAGTTGTTCGTTAGTAACACAACTATTAGCTGATAAGTTAAATGATAACGTATATTGATCCAAAAATATGTCAAAAATTAATTGAAAAAAATATAAGGGGCGTATTTGGAAAAAAAATCGAACCTTGCAGCACATTGAAACGCTATTTGAAGTTACGTTACAGAAAATTAGCTTATGATGATTCAAACACATTTCAATAAGGTTAAAAAATAATTTAGTTTATGGTTGTCAAATATGGCTTTAAGAGAATCCCCAACAGTTTTTCCATGATGTATCCAAAATACAGAAGTAAAAAGCCAAAATTTTCAAAAAAAATTATGTTCCAACTCCAAAAAGTTTCCTATTTTGAAGATTACAACATTAATCATATTATCAAAATAGAGTCAACTTCATATGAGAACAGTAACAAAATAGAAGAATAAAAAAGCAGTCGAATCATATATGATTTACACTAAAATCATGTGTAAAATCACATAGTGATTCACGAGACGCGTGCACATCTTCACGTTATGCTTTGAGCGTTTTCATGGTCTTTTATTATGTAAAGAAAAACAACTCTAAAATTTCTATTTTTTATTTAGAGATGAGTTAATTGAACCTCTACATACTGCTGCATAGGAGTGTTCATGGGTTGTATTGATCAGGTTGAAGACATTTGAACAACCTAACTCAATGCTTACGGTTTGAAAAATCTTTAACCCAACCAAACCTAAACCAAAGTGCAACCCAATCCAACCCAAACTGTACGGGTTGATACTTTGGTACATTAAAATATTTTTCTAACCTTAAATATGTTATTTCTCTACTCATAATCTCTTTTCCATTATCAACCATTTGATACCACTTATCCATAGTTCTTACGTATATCATATTCAATTAATTTTCTCAATTTACATATATATGTTCACAGTTACTGAACATATATACGAATGAGTTATATAGATATGTGAATAAATTGAAAATATGTATATATGAAAATGTACGTGATAGTATAACTGTCTAATGTGTATATTAATAGAAATTCAACAATCATATTAAATCCAGGAAATAAAATGATATCGGGTTCATCCGGTTTGGGTTGGGTTCAAACAATAACCCAATATCAACCCAATACTTACAGTTTGAAAATTGTACAACTCGATTAGACATCGGTTGCTTCGGGTTGAGTTATTTAGCCTTGGGTTGGATTGGGTTGGTCGGGTTTTTGAGCACCCCCTATTACTGCGGTAATGGTATATACGCCATTTTTATGTTAAAATCAGGTTAAATCATGAATTAGGTTTTGATGTTAATGTGTGTGAGACGAAAATTTTAGTAGGCAAGGGTTCATTTAGCAAATATATAGCAGTACATTTATTCTAATCCGTTGTTAATTGCATCATTATCTACCAATTTTCTCTTCACATATCAATATCAAGACTTACTTTTTTACATTTTCAATACATGATTTGACTTAATTTTGACGTAAAAAAGATACATATAACATTATCATTTATTTAAAGAATTTTTTAAAAAAGCATAATGAAATTATTAACATTGTAACAAAATAAAAAAGGGGGAAAAAGTGGGAAGAGATGCATGGGATGGGTAAGCATGTATGATTGCATTTGCTCTGTTTTTGTGTATTCACCCATCATATCATATGCGATGCCATTTTCCATGGCCCCCATTGCTCTCTTCACTCCTACCACCTAGCCTTAGATTACTCCATCATTACGCCGCCTCTACCACCACACTCCCATCACCATCCACCACCGTCAACCACCGCCAAATCCACCAATCTCTTCTGTTTTCCCCCCTTTTCCATCTCACTCAACAAATCATCACTGGTATGTCTTCTTTTCATCAGATCAATCTCATCTCTGGTTTTCTCGTTCTGGGGTTTGCCTCTTCTTTATCGAATTTCTTGCAAAAGATTTGATCTTTTTGATGGTTCTTTCTTTCTTCATGATTATGGTTTTCTGGGGTTTCATGAAATTATTGATCCATATGAAATGCTGTACATTTTACGTGCAATCTGATTTGTTTTATATTGTTTGCGTTTAAACAATGTGGTTTCTGTATTGGTTTTCATAGGTTCTTTTCGTTTTGTGGGTACTGTTTTATACTGTCATTTCATGGGTCTGTGTCAAATTTGGGTCAGAGGTCAGGATTGTGGATGTCTGATTATGCTTTCGAATCAGATATATTGGATTTGTTTAGTTTGGTTTTTGTTTTCTTACGAGGTTAAGAAATGATAGATGAATCTATTTGTTTGATGTAACGATGAAACACTGAGAATGGAAAAACAAGAAAAACAAATGGGCTTTGTTGTATGTATACCTGTTTATATCAAAAATCATGTTAAATCATACATTGAATAAAAAGTAAGTCTTAAATTAGATATATGTGAACAAAAAAGTAATAGATAGATTTTGTATTTAACAAGTAATAGGTCTGCAGTTAATGTTCCCCAGGTTCTTATGACAGTAATTGCATCACTCGTATAAGTGCTTGTTACAAGTGCTTATTTATAAGAGTCAACATTATAATTTACCTTGATACATAAAACGTATTGAATGCAACAATTTATCGGATATGCACTTACCTGGGTAAGGGGTCATTTTCACTTACTGGGTAAGACTGTGTCTTTCTCTCTTACGTATTTGAAAAACTGTGTTCTTTGATCATCTTTATCGTTTACCAGAGCTACCAACATTTGGTGTAAAATGCCGGAGAGAGTTCATGAACTGGAATTCGATGAATTTGATAAGCTTCTTGGCGAGATACCTCGAGCTACTGTGACCCCAAACACCGAAGAATTTGGAGTCTTTGGATCTTCCAAGAACCCGAAAAACCTCTATGCAACTCCTGAAAATGGTACGTTTCTTGATACCTTCAGTGACGAAAAACTGTCTGTGAGAAGGGTTCAGTTTATCGAAGGGAATCTTCTGAACGATCAATCATTAGAATCTGTTTTTCAAGATTTGAGCATCAAAGATAGGCCGATTCTGCTATCTCCAACCCCATCTTTGGTTAGTTCTTCCACACCCTTCAATGGGGTTGATTTCAATGGTCAAGAACTCGTAGCGATTCCTATGATCCCGAATCAACAACAGCTGTTCTTCGATGCTCAGTCGTACTTCCATCCTTCGCAACCAAAATCCGAGTCCCATATAACTTGGAGGAATCTTGAAAACGAACGTCACTATCATCCCATGCAAATGCACCAGTTCTGCAAGAGTTCGCACTTGGAAAGCCAGCCTAGGCCGGTGCAACAAGCTGCACCTTCGTTAACTCAGTTCATGAGCCATGGTATGCATGGTTCGAACCAAAAGGTTCCTGAAAAGATACTCACACGGTCACACGGGATGAACTCTCTTGGGTCTCTAAAGTTCGGTAGCTTTGAACGAAAAGACCCGGTTTCAAGTGGCGTGAACGTGAAGCAACAGCCTTTGCAGAAATCTGCGGATGACTTTGGGGAGAGAGTGTACATCATGGCGAAAGATCAACAGGGATGTCGTTTATTGCAGAAGAAGTTCGCTGAAGGGACACGTGAAGATCTCGAGAACATTTTTCGGGATGTCATATTGCACGTTGTCGAGCTCATGACTGACCCTTTCGGAAACTATCTTGTTCAGAAGCTGCTTGAAGTGTGCGATAAGCACCAACATATGCAGATCCTTCGTGTTATCACTAGAAAGCCTGGAGATCTTGTTAGGATTTCGTGTGATATGCACGGGTATGCTTTCGTTGCCCTCGTGAATAAGTATCTAAAGACGTTACAATAAGTTGTTATGGAGTTAGTCTGACCTAACAAGTTCTATCGACAAAGTTGGGCAACCTAATGTAAGACATTTTGCAAAAGTATCTTATTAAAAGGTTAATAGGACGTTATATTTTCTTTGTCTTATTAGATTGCCTAACTTGGTCTATAAGAGCTTATTGTAACATCTTTAGATAGTACGCACATCTCATGGTCAGTAAACTACTTATTAGGACACCTGGGGGTAGTAAAAGACCTATTTTGTTGTAGTCATTTTGTGATTATCATGTCGACAAACGATCTGTTTTCTTGTATGCAGGACTCGTGCTGTTCAGAAGGTCGTTGAAACTCTCAAAACTCGTGAGCAATGTTCGATGGTTGTTTCCGCACTGAAGCCCGGGATCATTGTCTTGATGAAGAACATGAATGGCAATCATGTCGCACAACGGTTCCTGCAGTACCTAAAACCCGAATTCAATGAGGTAACAAACAATGAATCTTTATATCCACACACAAACATATATGTGTATATGTATATAGGCAAAAGACCGTGTAACAAAGGAAGTTATGATGAGAAGCGTAAGCAGAAATTTGAACTCTTGATCACTTTTAATCTCATTCCTATCCATGAATTACGCTTTAGAAGAGAATTGATTCCGGAGCATCTTGTTGCACCTCATTAGTGTTGACATTCAATTATGATTGGTATAAAGGTGGAGATCCTTTCTTACGCTTCTCACCGTAACCCAACCCTATGTATAAATATGTACAGATTCAAACGAGAACAAAGTCAAAATAAGAGGCATGAGAATTCCTGTGTCACATGTGATTTTGGACTAAAAATCATATGTGATTTAGGTTCGGTCAAAGCTCTTAGCTCACTGGGCCAAGCATGCACACTCATGCTCTTGCGATGACCCAACCTGAATCACATGTGATTTTTAAGCCCATAATCACATGCGATTTTAGTCTAGAATCACATGTGATTTATAATCTAGAATCACATGTGATACAAGCATTCTCGTGTGCTCTAATTTTGACCATGTTCTCGTTTGAACCTCCCTCTATATATGTAGATATATATAATAGAACATTCGTGTATATCTATGTTACAGTTTATTACCAAAGGGTAATTGGTCCATCGGGATCTGAGTTACCGGTATAACCCATATTTCCCGGAGGTCGGGGGTTCAAACATCACCGAAGTTGAGAAGTGTGCGTGAGTATTTGCCGTATATAAATATTATTTACTTCAAAACGTTACAGTTTATTTTTGAAGCTGCGACTGTGAAATGCATAGAACTGGCAACAGACCGGCACGGTTGTTGTGTGCTTCAGAAATGTCTGAGTCATTCAGATGGAGAACCAAGAAGGCGTCTGGTTCGTGAGATCACTTCAAACGCGCTAATCCTTTCACAAGATCCATACGGGTACCCTCGATTACCCTTCTTTTGTTAGTGATTCCAATTTCGTGCTGTATTTATTTATACATTTTCAGGAATTATGTTGTACAATATGTTTTCGAGCTTCAAGTTCCATGGGCAACCGCTGCCATTCTTGATCAACTGGAGGGTAACTGCGGTGACCTTGCGATGCAAAAATACAGCAGTAACGTCGTTGAAAAATGCCTAAAATACGCACGAGAAGAGCGTCGTATTTGTATCATAAACGAGCTGATGAATAATCCCCGTTTAGATCAAATCATGCAGGATCCTTACGGAAACTACGTTATCCAAGCAGCACTTCGTTCTTCAAAGGTCCATATGTTTTTCAATACGTACTCGGCTTTTTGTTGCAACAAACCATCGTTCCAAAACGACATTTTAGTTTACAATAATGAACAATTCCCTTGAGACGTAACACAGTTAGTTCCGAAGTGATATACTTGCAGTGTAGGGTTATAATTCCTTCGGGGAGTGGACTCCTTGTGGGCCCAAGGCTCTTAAATCAGCCACCTAGCGCGTGATTTGCCTCTCGATGCTCTTGGGGCGAGACAGAGTGTGCCCACTCGGGGGTTGCTGTTTACAAATCCTTTCGCACTTTCGGTACACTTTCAGTACAAAATTGCTTATTCTTACAAATTGTAGCCTTTTTTTTGAATTTTCGCGAGAACGATGTTCTATTGCAATGAAAAAACAAGTACACGATATTTTACGTGTATGCATACACATATATACGTATATATATTTACTTGTCTCATCCAGGGAGCTCTACGTGAGGCACTGGTCGAGGCAATAAAACCCCACGTTCCCGCGCTACGCACGAGCCCGTACGGCAAAAAGGTTTTGTCGAGTAACGGCCTAAAAAAATAAGCATGGTGTGGTAAGACCGTCAAATATTTATTTACAGTTCCGTTTATTTTGATCATTTAACATTTTCATTTCAGGGGACCCGTTTGTACGTCGTGACAAGAAACGAAGACGTCGTTATGTATTTTATTTCATTCACGGGACCTATGAAACGAATAACAAATAACAAAAAGTGGTATAAACGTATGGAAGTTGAATCTCGTACAGTTTTCTTTGCAGGTTCAAGATTCCGTTTCTAGTTGCTATAAGACGATCGTTTGTTTTTGGAGGTGTTCGTATAGTTAAGTTCTAACCGTAACAAAGGTTTTGCCAGAGGAATCCCACGAGTCCGTGGACGACTCTGTGTTTCGCATTTGAATTATGAGTAGAAATAAAGATTTTGAAAGCTTCCATTAGCCGGTAAGTCAGGATTAAGTTGCTCGTTTTGCCGAATTATGGTCTGGGCGAGTTCTTGACATCGGAAGGGTTTGGCGGTCCGTCGTGTTGGTTCGTTGTTCAACCGGAAGTAGCGGTCGAGGTTTTTATTATTGTGCAAATGTGGATAATTTGGCGAAGTCGTGTATGTAGGGCGGACCTATGTAAGTCGATGTGCTCGCTTCGAGCACACGCTTGGGATTTCTTTTATTTGTCGTGATTTCTGTAAAACGATAAAACTATTAGGTTTTTCGAATAATATTCGAAATTGAATTCAGGGTGTTAGTTTACGATTTTGAAAGCTTTCGACTCGCTTGATTGTGTATTTTATATTTTATATGCACGATGTGGTTTTCATTGACGAAAATTGCAGTGTGTTTGGGTCTAATCGTACAAGTTTCACGACCATCATGGAAAAATAAATCACATCTCTCACGGTGGGGGTCTAATCGTAGTAAAACGGTACAGGTCTCATGGTGGATCATGAGAAAAGTAAATCACGTCTCTTAGGGACGGGTGGATGGCATTTGTAGTCGAATATCAAAACATTTATTCATTCTGTAAGAATGTCCATCTCTTTACCTGCTACGCCATAGGGCATATAGAAGAAAACATGTTCTCAATAAAACACCGTGCGTCATGATAAATCTTGCAATATTTTAAGGCGTTATTTGACTTTTAATTATTATTTTTTTTTATAAAAAATTGTCTTTTAAGAAAAAGTCCATGTAATTATGGAAGGATAAATTGCATGAAAAAATAACGTATTTTAACTTGATTCTTATTTCGGGTGACGTAATTTCATAACTTCCATTTTGGTACCCAAGATATAAAATTTTAAACATTTAAGTATCCGGGTAATCGGTTTAAGCATTGATCGGTTACTATGCCGATGTGGTATCCAACTTGTAACACCCCAGAATCACATTTGCATATAAACATATATTTTCATATATCAAGAAATATAATTTACACAACTGGTCCCACTATTTACAGGTGCTACATTACAAAGTAGCTACCAAATTTTTCCACAAAATTACTATACATAACTTGTATACATAACATGCATTCCAAAAATTGAAGATAACACATCGTTCCATGCAAACAAATATAACTCTTCACAGTTTCCCTTTTTTTCTTTTCCTTTGGTTGTGGCCTACCTGTAATGCACATTTTCAAAAACACCAAAATGAGGGTTAGACCTCAAGGTCTAGTGAGACTTTCCTTTTTGTTTGCAATTATAAGGTGAATAATCACCAAAACACATTTTATTTATGTTAGTAACAAACCTTTTTTGTCGAATCAAAATGATGAGACATAATCCAATTATTGCATCAAATAGCTCATTTAACATATTCTGACAAAACTCATCGCATCATATAGATGAAAATATAAATTTCTTGTATCACATAGGTGAGACAACTCCATTTCCTCGCAACACACTGGTGCGAGGATCTCATCTCATTGCATCACATGGATGCGATAAACCAACTTGTCGCATCATACTGGTGCGACAAACATAACTCCTCGCATCACAAGGATGCGAAAACAACTATTTATCGCATCAATAGGATGCGATAACTCCAACTCCAAGTCATCGCATCATAAGGATGCGACAACAATTAACAGTTTGATCAAAAACCCAGATTTTATATTCCACTGATTATGTCACTCTTATCCTACTATACACCACTCCTTGATATATCACTCTTATCGTATTATACACATCTACTTGATATGTCACCCTTATAACCAAAATACACCTCCCATTGATATGCCAACCTTATAACCAAAATACACATCTTATTGATATGTCATCCTTATTCCAAACACATGATATAAACATATCAAAATCCGACAAATTATGCTAATTAAAGTATCAAAACAGGTTTATGTCATCCTCACATAAAGAACCATTCGATTCTAAATTTCAATACCAAATAAAGAAAGTTTGTAAAACAACTCACCTTATTAATCACAAAGAAATGAAGATGAGATGATGAAAATCACAGTAACTATCCAGAACAAAGATTCACAGAACTCAACTTCTACTTGCTTCCTCTTTTGGTTTATGTTTTCACTCGAACATAAGAGAACACAGAAAATTTTCTTTCTTTCCTTTTTTAACAATCCCTATGAGATATACATAATATCTCATAAAACAATTATAAACCATAAGTGACGGTGGGATTTTTAAGAGGAATTAAACACATAACCAAGTCAACCCCCTTTAACTTACCACCATAGTTCAAGACCCCCCCGAACTTTATAACCGAATAACCGGTTATCACAACAACTCAGTATTATTTACTGTAGCATTCGGATAATGCTTCAACCGGTTACCCGGATACTTAAATATTTAAAACTTTACATCTTAGATACCAAAATGAAAGTTCTGAAAATACGTCACCCAAAATAAAAATCAAGTTAAAGTACGTTACTTTTTCATGCAATTTGCCCATTAAAAAATGACATGAGTTTTTAAGGCGCTATTTAACTTTTAATTATTATTTTTTTATAAAAAATTGTCTTTTAAGAAAAAATCACATGCAATTTAGGAATGTCAGATGAATAATTTGTGAAATTTAAGATGAATAATTTGTGAAATTTAAGCTAATAACAGCATCATGGTTAAGGATTATGTAATCAGATATTTGATTTCCTTAAAAATCTTGTTATATTAGATTTATTTATTTATTTTTGGACTACACCCAATCCATGATTACTTTTTTCATTATTTTTTCTATTGTTTTATTGTATCTATATTTAACGGCGGTTTGTTTACCTCCTAATAGTTTTATTAAGAGACAGTCTCTGAATCGCTAAGAGCTGAATCTTGTTTGACAAAAAAAAGTCTGTCTCTAAATAATTCTAAAACTCTCTGAATAATTTTATATCTTGGGCCTCCCTTAATCATTAAGCTTCCAAATTTCATTTTGCATTACATCATAACAGCCTATTAATCATTCTGATCACTTAATCATTATACACTAAATCATTTAGTAACTGTCAAACAGTCTCTTAATTTCTATATAATTATTTTGATCAAATATCATATGTGATACTTATTAATATAATTTTGATTTTAAAAATTATCTAAGCAACTCTCTAAATAGCATTTTATAGTTTACAAGTAATAATATATTATTATAAAAAATAAAGCATAATTACTTCATTCTTTTGCAATTAAAATATTTTAAAGTTGAAAAACATTTGAACAAAATAAATTATACCAAAAAATTCGAAAATTTTAGCTATTTAATCTAGCATCCACATTGCTATTTTTTTCATCCGTTAATTTTTTCCATATATCTTGTATTTGATTATATACATGTGATAATGTATAGGACAAACACAGTGAGGATGCCAAATTTGGACATAGTACACAATCGGAAGTGGTTTCATGTGTGTATAATCACATGTGAATACACGTTTTACTTAAATATTTGTGAATACAATGTAAACACATGTTTTAGGGGTTGTTTGTTTGGCTCTTAATGGTGACATTAAGAGCCAACCTCTTAATCGGTAAGAGGTAAGGGCTGTTTGGTAAAAAAAAAATAAGCCTTTTAATGGTTAGATTAACCTCTTAACCATTTTGTGTCCAGGGCTTCACTAAACCATTCAGATGTTCATTTTTCCAACCCTGCCCTCTCACCAGCCGTTCTTCACATCGCATCCCCCCCGATCGTCGGTCTTCCATTCGCCGTCTCCCCCCCCCCCCCCCGATCATCGCTCTTCCGGTCAGCTCTTGGTTGGTCGTCTTCCGGTCGCTGTCTTCCAGCAGCTCCTCCGGTCGCCGTCTTCCAGGTGGTCGTCTTCCGGTCGCCGCCCCTACTGCTTCCCTCTATCTGTTTCAGGTATTTCATCGCTTCCCTTCGCTTCATGTTGCTATCTTGGTTCTGTTCACTTCTTGGTTGCTATCTTGTAGAAACCCTTGTTACCATGCCATTGTGTAAAGTATTTCATGTTTGGATTTAGCAAAAAAGTAAAATTGGACAACAACAAATGCATTTCTGAAACAGTGTTTGTAAAATTGAAGGATAAATGCACACCTGTTTGCTACAGATTTCGATTCTTGGCTAGGTTAAAGGGGCTGGTCTGTAGTAGTCCAATACCAATTCTGTGCTTTTATGTTGTATGGACTCTTTTGTGAATTGGATAACCTTAATTTGATTAGATTGGAACTCCTTTGTCTCGAGGGTTAAAATGGTAATTTGTTGTCATTCAGAGAACAGTTACCAAACAACATTATTTCACTCAGCACTTAACCATTCTGGCCCTCTTAACCATTCTAACCACTTAACCATTCTGCACCAAATCATTCAGCAACCGCCAAACAACCCCTTACTTAATTATTGGGTATACTTGTTTTACTTAAACATTCTAAACACCACTATTTTCTGCTGTAACCACAAGATTTTTTAAATACTTAAATATTATTTACTAATAACACTTCAACAGTCAACATTCTTAATCGAACAAGTTTGTTGTGTCTAGTTTGTCGTATAATATAGATGATCAATATGAACATAATAGCAGTCAACATGAATGAGCGTGCATTCCATGTTTAACAATGAACACCATTC